TGACGCTCTATCCACTGAGCCAAACCGGTCAGGGCATATATTACACTTTGATTTCCTCCTGTCACTGTGTCTGTGAATGTGGTCGGTGTCCCGGCCAGAACTCAGAAGGTGGGAGGAGAACCGCTGACATGTTTTAGCTCCCACACGGGTGAGAGGCCGGGTTTCTTCCAGCTCCAGCTCCGGGGAGAGAAGCCAGAGGGGCGGGACGGCTGCGCGGCATGTGGAGCGCGAGGGCCACGGAGGCGCCTGCTCTCCCTTCCTGCCGAGGACAGCTCTGGTCTGTGCTCCGGTCCATGGGGACTGACACGTCATACACGCAGCAAACACAGTCACTGGAAAGGCTAGATGAGACGCTTTAAAACGCAGAGCCCAGCCCTAGCTGGTGTGGCTCAGTGGATAGAGCATCAGCCTGCAGACTGAAGGGTCCCGGGTTCGAATCCAGTCAGGGCACATGCCTGGGTTGCAGGCTCAATCCCCAGTGTGGGGCGTTCAGGAAGCAGCCAATCAATGACTCTCTCTCATCATTGATGTTTCTCTCTCTCTACCTCTCCCTTCCTCCCTGAAATCAATAAAAGAATACATTTAAAACAAAACAAAACAAAAAACAACGCAGAACCCAGGGCATCCACCACAGTGGGTGCCCTCCGAGCTCCACAGGCCTTTCTAACGCTTGGTCCTTCCCTGCTGGGGGCCCAGGAGGAGCCCACACCCTCCCGTCTGCCTTTGCGATGTGATCGATTAGAAACACCCTGTACCCTCGATAGCAGGCGCTCAGGCAGCCCCCACAGCGAGGATGTCCCGCAGCCACCGTTTCTGGAGGGGGGGCGGGGTGCTTCTTTCCTGTTCTCATTTCCCTGTTTCCCAAGGCCCCACAATGAGCATCTATTTCTGTAATAACTACAAGCCCGGGAGCCAGGACTCCGGCCTAAACGGAGGAGCCAGAGGCCAGGGAGCGGCACTCGCTTTTGAGGACGATGCTACACTCGCTGGGTGCCCCTCGCTGGGTGCCCCTCGCTGGGTGCCACTCCGCGGGTGCCACTCGCTGGGTGCCACTCGCTGGGTGCCCCTCGCTGGGTGCCACTCGCTGGGTGCCCCTCGCTGGGTGCCCCTCGCTGGGTGCCACTCCGCGGGTGCCACTCCTGCGGAGGCTGAGCAGCTCTAACGGCCTCTCTCCGGAAGCCAGTGGCCGCTCGCTGTCCTGAGCCCTGAAACTCACCCGCACCCAGGAGCACACACCTGGCACAGGGTCACCTTTGAGACGGGGGGTGGTGGGGGGTGGGAGAAGCAGAGTAGAGTCCAAAGGACACAGAGACACCAGCCGCGCTCTCCTGCTGGCCCCGTACCTGCGTGGGGGCCGGGCTTCATCTTGGAGGCCATGGGGACAGCAGGGAAGAGGCCCGAGGACTTTGACGGCTGATGGGGTGCAGGCGGCGTCTGGCTCTCATCCCAACGCGCCGGGGAGGGGGGCTGGGGCTTCTCCGTTGCCTGCAGGGGGGAGTCACACAGCAGGGCAGGGCGTGGGGAGCAGGTCGGGAGGATCAAACATCAGGGTCACTTTGAGATGAACCCAAGCACTGCTTAAACGCCGGCTGTGTGCCAGACTGCTCTAGGCGCACGGGGTCTAGTGACCTTGCACCCTAAAGAAGGGCTGCCTGTCCCCATTTCCCCTTCTCCACACCGCCCCTCCCCATGGATGGTTCCCATCTAACCCACTGCGATGCTTCACATTTAAATCCACAGGCTGAGCCCGGCCGGCGTGGCTCAGTGGGTGAGCATCGACCTATGAACCAGGAGGTCACGGTTCGATTCCCAGTCAGGGCACAGGCCCCGTTGTGGGCTTGATCCCCAGTGGGGGGCGTGCAGGAGGCAGCGGGTGCGGGGACCTGGCTCTCTCCTCCCCTTGCTCCCAGGGCCCCATCCACCATGACCCTCCTGGTGCGACCTGCCCTCTCTGCTGTCCGCCTTGACCCCTGGGACCAGACGCCAGGCCCTTGTCCACCCACCGGCCGCACGCCTGGGCTGAGGCGAGGGGACCGCCTGCTCCGGGCCTTCCTCTCCGCGGAGCCTTCCCGGCTGGGGCTGGCGCGGGGCCGCCTACTGCCTGCTGGGCTCGCGTCCCTGGAGTCTGGAAGGTGGAGGGAGGAGCGGCCGCTGCTGCACCCCCGGTCCTGGGCCTGGAAGCGCCGGGAGGCCGCGACGAGGGCGATGCTCTTGGTGCTCGCGGCCACCTCCTCGAGGTCCGGGCCGGCCGGGGAGCTCAGCCTGGAGGCCACGGGCTTCGCCCTCAGAGCGCTGGGACGCTGAGGGGACACCAGGGGGGTCAGGCCGCCCGGAAGCACAGGGGCCTGGCCCAGGGCAGCCATTTTCTGGGGGGAAGACTGCTTTGGGGAGACAGGGCCCAGGAAGCACGTGAGAAGCCAGGCCTGGGCGTCCTGTGAGACCAGTGCTTGGGCCTCAGGGTCGCGGCCCCGAGGGCGGAGGGGCCACGGCTCCTACACCAGCTCCCAGAGCCACGGAGGGGCGTCCCCAGGACCTGACCCTCAGCACCCGCACGGCCGGAGTCCCGGGAGCTGGGGCCCCGGGGGAGGGGCTCCTGGAGGCCAGGGGCTGCCTCTGCACGGTCACCCCGCTGCTGACAGCCATCTTGGCGGCTGGGTAAAAAGAGTCCCCTTCCGGAAGCTTCCCTGCTGCTCGCCCCAGCCCAGTGCAGCCCTGAAGGGCCCTGAGACCCGCACACCCACCTCGTGCGCTGGCGGCGTGAGCAGGATGCGGAGGGGCGGCGGGGCGAGGGCAGCCTGCCTCCCCCGCTGTTTTGAGGGAGTGGCTTTCGACACCTTGAAACCATCGCTGCGAGGAAACACAGAGGGCCCTCAGTCTCCACCTGTTGCCCCAGAGGAAGCTCGAACCCGCGCTGTGGCCCCCGGTCAGGCCAGGGCGGGTGATCAGAGGAGATGCAGCCCCGTGGACACGCGACACCCGCCAAGTGTGCGAGCGACCTGCAGTCCCGGCGCAGGCAGGACACTCGCTAGGAAGGAGGCCAGAGGCCCGCGGTTGGGGGCCTTCGAGGCACAGACTTGCCGGGAGGCGGCCCCTGAACATGCTGGCCCTCCCGGCCCTGGCACCGCCTTCTCCCGAAACCCTGGGACCAGCGGTTCTCAACCTGTGGGTCGCGACCCCTTTGGCGGTCGAACGACCCTTTCACGGGGGTCGCCTAAGACCATCCTGCATATCAGATATTTACATGACGATTCATAACAGTAGCAACATTACAGTTATGAAGTAGCAACGAAAATAATTTTATGGTTGGGTCACAACATGAGGAACTGTATTTAAAGGGCCAGAAGGTTGAGAACCACTGCCCTGGGACGGTCTGGGGGACAGGATGTCCTGCTGCGCCGAGGAGCCGGTGGCAGCAGGTGGTGTCGGGATGGGGGCCGCTCACTCCAAAGACCAGCACGTTAGAGGCGGGACTTTGGGCAGCCCCATCCCAGGAGGGCGGATGTGGCCAGTGATGTGATAATTTGTGCTGCGTGATGCAACCCCAATAAAACCTGGACAAGGAGCGGGGGAGCTTCCTGGGGGGGACATGGGGGTGTCCAGGAGGCTGCCTGCCCAACCCGGGGGGTGGGGAGTCTGTCCAGGCCTCCAATTCCCGCAGCCTCCCCTGGAACCAAGGGCAGGCGATGCACGGCCAGAAGCAGAGCCCGCTCACCTGTCCGGCTGCTGGAAGGGGGCGCCCCCCGGGGGGCCCTTACTGTCGTCCTGGTCAGGACAGCCATCCTGCGGGCAGACAGAGGAGGAGCTCGGGGAGGCATCCGGGCCGGGCGCAGCCGCCAGCGTGTCCTGAGGCCCTGAGGGCGGGGAGGTGCCTTCCTGCAGCCGCCCAGCAGCTCTCTTCCTCGGAGCCCCCAGCAGACAGAAAGGGGGCCTCTGCCAGGAGCGAGGGCCGGGCCGCGGGTGGGCCTTGACCCTGGAGCAAAAACGGGCACAGGGCTGGCCAGTGGGGCTCGTTGGCTGGGCGTCGTCCCAGGAACCAGGAGGTTCGATTCCCTGTCAGGGCACATGCCTGGGTTGGGGCTCGATCCCCAGTGGGGGGCGTGCAGGAGGCAGCCGGTCCATGATTCCCTCTCCCTCCCCCTCTTTCTAAAAATCAATAAAAACATATTTAAAAAACAGGCACAGGGCGACGCTGGCTGAAGTCAGGGGGTTCTCCTCTCTTTTCTCCAGAAGGCAAAGCAGAGGGTCTGTGGGCTGGGGGACCAGGCCTAGCCCTGGGTGTGGGCAGAGCTTGTGACGACCGTGTTGGTCTAAATAAGGAACTCAGAGCCCCCCCAGACCCGCTTCCCGAGGGCATCCCCATCCCCACCCCGACCTCCCTCCTTAAGGTGTCCCCAGAAGGGGCAGCAGACGTGGCCTCACACGGGGCCTGGAGGACCCCCTGGGGACCCCCAAGCCCAGAGGAGAGCCTGAGACCCGAGGGCTTGCTGCGGCCCCAGAAGACGCCCTGGCCCAGGCTTCCTTCCTGCCGGCCGTTACCTCTAGCGGTGGCCCAGGTTGCAGACCTGCCCGTGAACATCACACCCCGGAGCCCCGAGTCCCCCCAGGCTCGCCACCCCACACCGGCCGGAACGGAACTGCTAGGTGCGTCTGGCCAGAGGCGGCCTGGTTCCTGGGTCCCCAAGTTTCCTCTTCCCACCTCCAGGGCCAGTGTCCCAGGCTAAGCCCAGGCGGGCGGGAGGGGACACTCGGACCAGAGCTGACCCAGGCCAACCCCCCAGTGCCCGGACTCACCGGCAGGGAGCTGGCCGTGGCCGTGGCCGAGTGCAGCAGCAGCAGGCGGTCCAGCGAGCCCCCGCCCAGCTCCCGCGCGTACAGGCCGTAGCGCTCATCCAGAGTCCTGGGCACAGGGAGGCCGGCGTCTGCGGGAGGAGGGAGGGCGGTCAGGGCACGCCGCCCGGTCCAGAGCGGGGCGCGGGCGAATCCTCCCCAGGGGCCGCGTTTCTGTGACTTCCTCTCCGCTCCGTCCGCTGCTTGGAAATGATCTGCTGGTTCATGCCCCGCCTTTCAATATAAAGTAACAGGGGAACTTCCAAGAGTGAGTAACAGGCAGGTTAGAACTCAAGGGCCTGGCTGGCGTGGGTCCGTGGCTAGAGCGTCAGCCAGAGAACAGTCTCGGGGTGATTCTGGTCAAGGGCACGCGCCTGGGTGCAGTTCCCCGCCCGTTGGGGATTGTGTGTGGGGGGGGGGGGCGGGGGGGACGACAACCAATTGATGTGTCTCTCTCACATCCGTGCTTCTCTCTCTCCCCCTCCTTCCCTTCCACTATCTCTAAAATCAATGGACAGCCCGGCCTGCATGGCTCCGCGGTTGAGCGTCGACCTATGAACCAGGAGGTCAGGGTTCGATTCCCAGTCAGGGCACAGGCCCGGGTTGCGGGCTCCATCCCCAGTGTGGGGTGTGCAGGAGGCAGCTGAGCAGTAACTCTCATCATTGATGCTTCTCTCTCTCTCTCCCTCTCCCTTCCTCCCTGAAATCAATAAAAATATATTTAAAAAATAAAATCAGCCCTCACTGGTTTGGCTCAGTGGATAGAGCATCGGCCTGCGGACTGAAGGGTCCCAGGTTCGATTCCGGTCAAGGGCATGTACCTTGGTTGCAGGCACATCCCCAGTAGGGAGCGTGCAGGAGGCAGCTGATCGATGTTTCTCTCTCATCAATGTTTCTAACTCTCTTTCCCTCTCCCTTCCTCTCGGTAAAAAATGTCAACAAAATATATATATATTTTAAATAAAATAAAATAAAATAAATGGAAAAAAATCCTCTGGTGAGGAGTAACAGCAACAACGAAAAGGAAGCTGAAGAGCCCGCCCTAGGTGTGCGCCCAAAGGAGCAACAGGTGGTCGGACAGCTCAGGCGCGAGGCTCGCAGCAGCGTGAACACCTGGTGCCCCAAGGCCAACGCAGCCCCACGTCTGTCGGCTGAGGCGTGAAGGAAGGTGCTGACTGGGCGGCGGGCGCACTGGCCTGCACGCTGCGGAGGGGTGACAGGCGTGAGGGGCGGCAGGCGGCGGGAGCCTGGGCGGCACAAAACCTAAACGGTCCCAGCTGACAGCGCAACAAATCGTGTGCATCTCGGCAGAGGGCACCGACCTCACGAATTGGCCTCGCGCGCACAGCGACACCTGGGGTGCACGGTCCGGGGTGCACGGCGAGGGGGAAGCAGGGCCCGGCCTCACCCTGAATGAGCTGCCGCTGGTCCCGGATGATCCCCTCGCACAGCAGCTGGTGCTGGCGGAGGCGCCCGATGAGCAGGTCCCTCTGCGCCAGCAGGTGCGCCCCGTGCTGGCGGCCGGCCTGCAGCGCTGCGTTCTCTGCCTCCAGCTCCTGCGCCCGGCACAGAAGCCGCTCCTCCAGCTGCGCCTGCGGGGACCAAGGTCTCTGCCGCCCCACCCGCCAGCTCCCCACACGGACCCCACCCGCTCCCCCCACGGACCCCGCCCACACGCCCCTGATGGACCGGGTGTGCAAATTGAACTCAAGAAAATAAGCAGCGGCCGGTGTGGCTCAGCGGTTGAAGGTCGACCCATGAACCAAGAGGTTTGATCCCAGTCAGGGCACATGCCAGGTTGCGGCTCCATCCCCAGTAGGGGGCGTGCAGGAGGCAGCTGATCAGTGATTCTCTCTCATCATTGATGTTTCTATCTCTCTCACCTTCTCCTTTCCTCTCTGAAATGAATAAAGAAATATATATTTTTTAAAAAGTTATGAATAATTAAAAAAAAGCGGGCCTTGGTTTGGTGACAGTTTTTAAGTGAAATAAATGCCACCGGCTTGTAGCGACAGGACATCATCAGACTCGGCCACTAGCCTGAAAACAGTCCTGCACCCATTCACCTCGGGGCGGGACACAGCCAGCTGCCCGCACTTTCCCCAGGTCCCCGCTGCATAAACAGCTCAGATAAATCGCTCGCTCTTGCCCGGCCGGCCTGGCTCCGTGGCTGAGCATCAACCTAGGAACCAGGAGCTCAGAGTTCCATTCCCGGGTTGCAGGCTCGATCCCCAGTAGGGGGTGTGCAGGAGGCAGCCGGTCCATGGTTCTCTCATCATTGATGTTTCTCTCTCTCTCTCTCCCTTCCTCTCTGACATCAATAATATATTTACAAATAAATAAATAAATAACTCGCTCTTCCCAGGAAACAGCCTGGGAGAAGACTCACTCTCCAGAGAGCAGCCTAGAGCCGGGCTGCCCGGCCGCGTCCCTGTCCTCTCTCCGGTGCCCGTGGCAGCCTGGGGAGCCTGTGCAAGAGCCGGCCAAAGCCCCTCCCAGGAGCCGCCGAGGCCCTGCCGCCCCCGCACTCGGGCCCTGCCGCCCGGGTGTGGCCGTTGCTAACATGCAGGGACATGGGCTTGCAGCCAGCCCCGCCAGCCCAGCTCTGCTCCTGCCCTGGGGACCGGGACCAGCTCTCTGACCGCTGAGCCCGGCTTTCCCGCCCGCAGAGCCAGCGCCGGTGCACGGGCAGCGATCAATGTCGTGACTCGGCCCGGGTGTCGCCTGGGCTGCCGGCCCCTCCCCACCTGGAGGGCCACGGTTCTCCGCTGCGCGGCCAGCAGCAGGGAGACCTCCTCTCCGGCCAGGGCTCCCTCGTGGGGCTCTGCGGACTCGCCCTCGTCCCCGGCTGCGTCGTCCACCGCCTGCTGCTCGTCCCCCTCGGGCGCCTCGTCCTGGGCGCGGTGGGGGGGCTTCTCCCGCTCCCAGCTGCAGCCATGACAGGGGCGGGGTCAGAGCCCTGTGGGCGCCACTGGTCTAGTCACAGGCGTGGGCACGGAAAGGGGCAGGGTTGGGTCTGCTGTCTGACAACAACTGGAAAAAGTAAAGAGGTGAATGGCCCGGCCAGTGTGGCTCCACCTATGAACCAGGAGGTCACAGTTCGATTCCCGGTCAGCGCACATGCCCGGGTTTCAGGCTCAGTCCCCAGTAGGGCGTGTGCAGGAGCCGATCAATGATTCGCTCTCATTGATGTTTCTATCCCTCTCCCTCTCCCTTCCTCTCTCTCTAAAAATTAATAAAAACCGATTAAAAAGAAGAAGCAGTGTATGTTTGCAGTATGATCACCGAGCAATTAAGCACAGGACCCTGTAGCCAGCCCGCCCCTCCCTCCTGGAGTCCTCTGAGGCCAAGCCACTGGCCCTCCGGCCCCTCCCCCCCAGTCCCTCAGCTGTGAAACTGCCCCCTGGGCCTGGTGAGCTCAGGGCAGAGCCTGGGCAGGTGCCGCCCGTGAGGAAGGACACGGGAGCTGCGGCTGGAAGGGGCGGGAGTTCCTCGGAAGCAGGCGCTTGCGCGGTTAAGTGAACAGACGGAGAGGAGGAGGGAGGACGGGAGAAGACATGGACGGATCGCAGTGTGCACACGGGTGGCCCGGTGGCCCGCTCATCCAGGCCACTGCGGCGATGCCGGGTGTCCCAGTGCCATTGCTAACTATGCCCCACCTCCCACGCCTGTCCGGGGACAAAGCACAAGGCCGGTCCAGCTCGGGCAGCCTGCTCACTGCGGGTGGCGGGAGAAGGGCTGGGCCGTCCGGAGAGCCGGCCGGTGGACGGACACTCACCCTCGGCCAGCCCCACCCCTGAGCCTCAGCATCGCCCTCCGTCCCACGGGCTGACCCCGGCCTGCAGGGCTGGCTCTGGGCTCCAGCCTGTGAAGGGGCCAGCGGGACCTGGACACCGTCCCCACCTGCTCCAGCCTCGCTACAGGCGGGAGGGCGGGAGGGAAGAGAACGAGCCCTCGGCTAAAGGCCCCGTGGGGACCCGCAGGCAGGGGAGGGAGGCTAGACAGTCGCAAAAAAGGAGCCCCCGCCAGCGACCCCACTGGTTCTTCTTGGCCCTTCTGCCCCATCGGGAGGGTGGCGCTGGGTCCTGGGCGGCGCCCACAGCGGCACACTCACTCTGCAATGGCCAGCAGGTGCCGGGACACGTCAGGTGCAGCTCGATGTTGGGGTCCTCCAGCTCTACCGGGCTGCGGGCCATCTCCGGCTGCTCCTGAAAGGTCCCCTGTGAGTTGGGCCGGGGTCTCGTTAATCTGAGGGCGCTGGTCCTCCTCCCGGGGCCCTGGGCGGGCTTCGCGACTGGGAGCAGCAAGAAAGACGGCTGCCCTTGAAAGCGTTGCAACCTGAGCCCAGGGCTGAACTCCCAGGCCCTGCCCACCCAAACAGGTGGGAGCTCACGCCCTGTGAGGGTTGGTGGTTGGTAATAAATTGACGAAGGTTGGATGTTTGGATGGGCGGATGGGTGGATGAACACATACCTGGCTTCTTTTTTTAAAAAA